AAAAAAAAAAAAAAAAATAAGCTAGCCCCCAAGTCAAATTCCAGTAAATGACTCAGCAAAGAAATCAAAAACCAGTAAAACTGAGCAAGTAGTATGTAGCTACAAATGCTGGAAGCGAAACGGCTCCAAGGTAACCGCAGAACTAACGGGATAAACGAGGTCAAAAGTTTTAATTGGGACTAAAATTGACTTTTTTTCCTGTGATCATTGAGCGACACTACTGTATTCACTTCTACCTACGCAGGGGAATCTCTGCATTTATGTTTTTAGGATACCTTTGCATTTTCGCCTGAACTTCAGTAAAATTTGAGCAACTTCTACCAAGAATTTAAAAAAAAAAGTGTACAGTCCAATACTTGTCGTCATTTTCATCGTCACTCTTTTTTACCTTTTCTCCTGTAATACTTTTCAATACTGTCTTCCTTATAAGGGAACTACTTTAGGCTGCCGGTTGAAGAGCTTTTGTCTTCCTCATAAAAGTTCCCACCTTATATGTTCTTTACACATTTATAATTATACTTGCGTCGGATGATGACCGTCGAAGAAAAAATTTTAGTTGGGACCTTCTTAAACCGGTTATTATAGGAGTTCTGCAGTTACTTCGGCTCAGTCCGTAATCAAACTAATAATCTTTATTGCATTTTACTGGGTTGTGATGCCCTAGCTGAGTTATTGCCTGAAGAGTAAACGGGATATTAACTTTTTTTTTTGCTGTTTTTTTAATTCTTTCTATTAAAAAATCATTTTTTCTCGTAACCCCAAAATCTTTCCCTATTTTTAGGTTTTACAGAGTGTAATTTAGGTCTTTTAAGTAATTTTTAAGGTCAGTTGACTAATCTTTTGAGAAAATTACTATTTTGGCAGGAACATGCATTTAATCCGCGAATAATTGGTTTGCGAATAATTGGTGCATCTTTTTCAATCTAATATATGACTTAAGTTCACTCTTTATATACAAAACTTTCTTTGTTGAAATAACTTCATTCTTCCATGTTCACAAATACAATATCATGTACAAGTAACATACTAGTTACAACTAAAAAGTAATTCAAAAATGCGTAGTCTACATCCCCCTCGCCTCAATTCACTCCCGTTGCCCACCGCAAATGTCTCATATTCGCTGTCATCATGAAGACCGCATCTGATTTCCACAGGAGATGCTGGTTCGGGAAGTCCTCGTGTAAACACGAAGTTTTTTATCTAGGTGCGGTGCCTGAGCCGTTTTGATGGAGTGTGCTGGGAAAGTTTTTTAATTGCCTAAAGAACGGCTGGATGTTTGTTCTTTCTCCTTTTTTTGTTTCTCGTTTTTCTGTACTATTGGAATGTAGCTCTCTAGGAGCGTGAAATTTTGCAGCTTTTTACCTTAATGTTTAGGTACGTGTTCTTTACAACATCGTTGGGAAAGTTTAACTCTAAAAGAGTTGCAGCGGAAAATAGCAGAGAACGGGAACGGTTGAAGGACCTCAATCGTCATTTCTAAGTCGTTAGAATTACCAGTGCAGATGAAAAGTAATTGATGATATTGTAAAAAAAGGACGTAGACAAAAACATGAAAGTATCTTCTTTATTAAAATATTAACAAGTAAACTTTTTACAGCTCTCTCCATACACACCTCTTAAGGAATTTTTTAACTCCCTGAACGGAGTCCAAGAATTAACTTTTGAGAGTAATGAGGTCCCTTAGACAGTTGCTCACGAGCTTATTCCGTACAAATTTAACTAATTCTAATATTTTTATCTGTTCAAGCATTCTTTTTGTCATATAACTACTTTTTCAGCAGATAAGCCCAACTATAAATGTCCTACACTAAACTAGAAGCTTCCTTCGAGCGATTAATCAGAACACCAAAGAAGCTACAAGTATTTTAAACATCACTTTGTGCCTGACAACCAGTGCAACTGAGTAGTTGAGCGACCTGCGGGTGGAGGGGAATGGTTAAAATTGATTGTCCAGTGACAAGTAATCAGTCAGCGAGTTAATCGCACAGCTTCTTAAAAAAAAACCTGCAAAAACTACCACAGCTAAGGCAGTTCCTGCAACATGTACGAAAACATTCTTCATTTTAGTAAAAACTGCAAGAATCCAAAATTAAGTTCTAAGTTTCCGAGTTGGTTAAAATTGCTAATCAAATCAAAGCCTGAAGTACCTTTCAATTTGAAATCAGAACAACTCAAGAAATGCTTTCCGGTGCAAAGCACTGATGCTGAGTGGCCGAAAGCGGTCAATCCTTAGCAGGGGTCCCCGGAAGAATGTTCAGTGCACTCTGCACCTTATCCCGTGTCTACACGGAAGAGGCGCCGCTTTTAATTCCCCATGTAGTACCAACCAGGGGAACTACATCTCAGCTTAACCAGGAGCATTAGTTCTAGGGGTCAGACCACTTTATTTTTCACATTGGACTTATAATCATGCCGAAATCGGCAAATATTTGCTTAAGCTTGCACCATTGTTGGCTAAAGTGGCTGATCTCGCATTTTCTGTCAAATCATTACATGGCACTGGATTGTCCAAATGGGACCATTTCCAAACGCCACAATTCAAACACCTTAAAGTGCTAGTTTTGGCCTTTTCTGTAAGAGAACTATAATCCGAGTGCCGGACATAATAGCCAGAAAGCGACGGAATTCTGTTGCTCCAGTTACTATTTGCCAAACGAATGGCGCCCTACAAATTTCAAAGTTTATAATACCTACTAAATAATTTTGTCAGACAGTATACAAACCTTGGATGTTATGGAACTAGTCCCACAAAATAAAAATTACTTCCGAGACCAACTGCGAGCAACTTCAGGACAATAATGTTTTCAAACAACTAAGAAACAAGCGCATGTGCTATGTTGAGAGAAAAAGAGATAAAATACGAATGGCAAAAGCAACCTGGCAAACATACATTAGACAGTGCATACTGCGGGACTAGAAGAATTATTTACGGAACAGGTGAAAATAGAACCGTCCCTACGGAGCAGTAGAAATGCCTTCATCATTACACCGCTACAACTTAAAGCTGGGAACCATCAAGATAAAACAGGTGCAAGAACAGGTAAGTCCTGTATTATCAGGCAGGGCTTCTTGTACCAAAGCTCGAGATCACGCAATAAGAGGAGTTCCCTAGTATGGTAATAACGAAGGCATACACTAACAATTTGTAGAAATTAAAGGAGTAGGGTTTTACAGACACGAAATTACAGTAGAAAATAAAAAAACACTGCATTACCAATGAAAACAATAAACAGCAATCTGCATAGAGTTTTAAAGTTTTTATACAGTAAAAATGTGACTCCTCATCCTTCCTGGCCAAAATCCTTGGTAAACTGTAAAAGTTTGTCCAAATCTGCCTTGTTCACCGTAGGTTTTGTATTCATTAGGGACAAAACCATATCATTCTATAAAATTAACAGTCACTAACAGAACAGTAGAAAATAACAAAAAGAAGAAAATAATAAACCATAGAAAGGACAGGTTCAATAAGCTTGTCGCTTGGAACATCCATAAAAGACATGGGCACAGCGCCGGCATCGCCTGGTGAACAAGGAGTGAGAAGGTCATGAACCATAACATGTGGATCTGTTCTCGAAGGGCCGGTAACATATTTGAAATGTGTTGCAGTCTGAACCTTACGCACTGGTTGCATTAATGCTTCACGTACCACAATTGATATATCGTATCCAGAAAAACCTTCAGTTCGTTCACCCAAAGACTAGAAACGAAAAACAGCCGAAGTAGGAGCGAAATTAAGAACAAGCTCATATTTTGACTACAAAATCTAAAGAATTACATTACACAAACCAATTTAAAAAAAGCTTGCCTTAAAATCTTCTTCAGTTAAAGAGTGATTAATGTGCTTGCCAATATGTAACTTGAACATATCCCTACGAGCGTTAGCCTCTGGTAATGGGATGTAAATCCTTTTCTTGAAGAGGAAGAAAGTTACACGATTTACAACACAAATATCGCATCAGCAAAATGCAGAGTTAACTTATAAGGGATGACAGTATTTAACAGCAACCAACTTAGTCGAAAAAACTACGCAGTATATAAGACATTAACTAACTTCAAAGCGACGGCGAATAGCTGCATCAAGTACCCAAGGAATGTTGGTAGCACCAAGTACCAATATGCCTTCCATGTCATTCCCAACACCTTGCATTTGTACTAAGAATTCAGTTTTTATACGACGTGCAGACTCACTCTCTGTGTCCGATCTCGAAGAACATAAGGAATCAATTTCGTCGATAAAGATTATTGAGGGCTTATGTTCGCGTGCCATTTCAAACAACTGTTTAACCAGCCTTTAAAATGTACATTCTGCGAAAGTATAAAAGCAATTCTGCAATAGGTAAGCAGAGAACGGGAAACTTAATCAATGAAAAACAAAAAGATGAACCAAATAAACCTCACCTTTCTGATTCTCCAAGCCATTTTGACATAAGATCTGACGACGACACAGAAAAAAATGTTGAATTGTTCGCTTCTGTCGCTACAGCTTTCGCGATATAAGACTTCCCAGTACCCGGTGGACCAAATAAGAGAATACCACGCCATGGCTTACGGTTTCCTAAGCAGGACGGAAATATCAACTGAGCATCGCAAAGTATTGCAAATTACTGCCACGAAACGACATTACATTTGAATGAATGACCGAAATACGATTTAAACGCTATGGGCATAATAATATCAAAATGCAACTTTTAGGATGCGCAACCAGCGAGCTGAAGGATTGACAGCAATCGATAAAGACGCATATGCACTTTGTAGCATTAAACATGCAGATCCGAAAGCCGCGAACGCGCATAGACTTCGTGCGATGCAGCAAAACCACCCACTTTATCTAAATCTTCACAGCGCAAAGTATCGGTGCATTATTCCACTATCAAACAATTGCTTTTTGAATGATTTTTTGTCTTTGCTTTTAGTTACTTTCTTCTTTACTGGACGCCAATCAAACCATTTGAACCAATTAATCAAATACTGGCCACACCGTATTAACTTAACCTAAATCTCCACCCTTTTCAATGCGCTATAACGCACCGACATCTCCAAGTTCCATAAAATTCTTTCGGAAATCCAGACTCCACTAAACAAACTGAAGACTCACTTTTTACTTAAACCCTGTGAAGCACGACATTATCCGTTCTCCCTTAACCATTACTCTTTTTCTGCTCAAAAAGGAAACGACTCTGACCCGGTTCAAAATGTGAAAAATTTTTGGTTACATGTGCAATATAGATCGATTTATAGCTTGCTGAAAAAAGTGAAAGCCAAAACGGAGTCATTGCTCAAACGGCTTCAGGATTGTCACTATGTTCACTAATGTTTCTGCTGTGAAACACAGTCTATTCAATAGTACTGCTTCTCCAGCTCCTCTTATTGCTAGCATCTTTGCCACCTTTAACGCCGTCGCTGCGGTTATTAATTTGGTAGTATTTATCTATATCGTTTCGCACCGACTTTACCGCTGCTTTGTATCTTCTCACTTCATTGCTCATCTCTGCGTCACTAATGCTGTCGCATTATTAATTCTAGTTCCTACTTTCGTTGTCACTGTCTGGACTGGACACAATCCCTGGATATACAGCAACTTAACATGCAGGCTCCAGGTAATTTTATCCACTGATTAATTCTAAAATTTCAGTACGGGGGTACCTTCAAGCATTCAAAAAAGACTTACTCATGGGCAACTAAATAATCATATTTTCCTCACAGGCATTTCTAACTTGCACGGTATGGACGGTAATCAACTTTATGGGTTTATGTATTGCTGGTGTTCATTTGTTGACCTTTGCAAGGATTCATTATGAACAGTTATTTGGCCTACAACCAAACACCTTATGTATATTGGCTTGGTTAGTAGCAGTTGGACTCTCGTTGCCAACCATCACGAATGGCCATGTTGTCGTCTACGAAAAAGCGCTGAGGCATTGTGTGTGGGGAGATAGGTAACTTCTTTAAAGAGATAACATTTCTGGAATCACGATAAATTATCACCCCCCAGTCTTTTCCTTAAACTAGTAAACTAATTTCTAGTCAAAGTAGTTCAGAATTAGAATGAAGTAAGCTGCAAAAATCAAGTAGAGTTTCGTTTTACTTCCCTAGCGTTAATTCCATAAAACTTAGAATACTATTTCAGCGACAGTGGACTGAAGTTCCTAACATACCTCCTCATCATAGGCCTTTTCATACCAGCATCACTAGAATTTTACGCCTACATCCGTGTACTTGGAATACTGTATCACAGTCCCATAGTTTTCCAAAGCATTGGACTGTATAAAAGTCGATTTCTTATTTACGGCTTCATAACAAGGTTAAAGTACAAAATTTTCCTGGATATTAGTATTTCTTAAGCAATACCGTTAAATTAATTAAAAAAGTTTTAGCTCATTTTCTCAGCTGCCCTTTTATCTAATTACTGTGGTAAACAAGTGGCGCCAAGCAGACGGCCAAATTCCAATGACTTGCACCTTCCTTGCTTATGCACAGTGCATTATTTCACCTGTCCTGTACGGAGCTTCACTATTTTTGTTGAAAGAAGAGGATATGACGCTAACCAACCGAGCTCACAAAACCACGAATGCCCATCAGATGGCGCATAACGTCTGATCACTGGTTTAAATTATTGAGCCAAAATCCACAAAATTCCACTTATCACAACTGATGTACGCAATCACTGCTGTGTTTACTAGCTACACAAATTTCTCTGACGAAACAAAAAGGAACCGTTGAGAAATGTAAGGTTTTTTCGAAACTAAAAGAACAATAATAAAAACTTATGTTAACTTCAAGTACCAGACAAAAAGATGCTAGCAACCGCCGTGGTTTACGACCGTAACTGGTTATCAAAATAGATCTCCTCTTCCATAATACATGTTTGCACATTAATCATGATACAACTAACAATCATGTCTTCCAAGAAAAACAAATGTAGGATATCATTTATGGAAGCCTTTTTTTTTTGCAGTAAATAGTAAATAACTAGACTAAATTTAAAAAAGTGACACCGCCGCCGATTAAAAAGTAAAACAGTGAACAAAGGAATCCCCACAACGAGTACGCATAGGCCCTTAAGCGCGCTGAAGAAAAAATATTCCATAGCGAGAGAAAGTCAGCACGAGAAGGACACTCCGTAAACAAAAGCGGTACAGAATTTCCAAAACTAAGCAAAAAAGAGCATAATTAATTTGGCTCCTGATGCAAAAGCTTTTAAAAATGAGGAAGCAGTAAACTCTCCTCCATTTCAGGGCAACAACCAATCTAACATTAAAATCTAGAAGTGCCTTCAAGTTCGTTTCAACCTTCTTTGACATTCCATTTGCAAGATGAAAAATCACAAAAAGACGGTTTAACAATGTTTAGAATGAGAAAAAAAGATGAATTAAATCACTAAAATTTTATCTCATTAAGAAATTAAGTGGCCTCAAAAAGATTTTTAAGGAAGAATGATAATACGATTCAAGACGAGTGAAGGTCGATACTAAGTAAAAAATTCCGCAACCAACTATTGTGGTACTTTAATTACGAACCCATTTCTAGATCAGCATGCGCCCACTATTTCCCTTTTTCTTCTGATAAAAATATTTGAATTTCTAAGGACTATTTTTGTCCTCCCACGTAAAATAACGAAAATATTTATTTTCTTCTCTTCCCGATACCTTTATTTCTTCCAACGTATTACACAGAAAAAAACAGAATTTATTAAAAGTTACGAATTTAATGCACTAAATGAAATGGGAACATTACTAAAAAATACTGACTAGTGGTTTTAAAGAACTAATGTCGAAAGTTAGAAAGTAAAAATTTAGAATAGAATAACTATCATACTACTGTCTCCTTTCAAAACTAAAACAAAAAGATTCCACACTTAACAACTAAACCTGAAGAAAACTTGGTGAACCAGCAAACTAATTAATAATGTATCGAAAACATCAAAAAATTCTAATGAAGAAACTGATGAAAAGTGTTGGAATCATGCTAAGAATTTCCCTCATCTACTCTTTATCATGAATGTTGCCCCATTTTTCTTTGAAAAAATATTTATACGGTGAAAGAATAAGCTAAATAAATATGTGTAATGTTAATGCAAAGCTAGAGAAGTGGAAATTCTGAACAGTAAGGTAGCATACCTGTGAACAATTGCGGAAACTTGATCGGCAAAATTACTGCTTCCTTTAAAGCCTCTTTCGCACCTTCCAAACCGGCAATATCATCCCACCTAACGTTCGGCTTTTCCATTATAATCGCGCCTGACAGCCTTTCTTGCAGTTTTTTATTTTCACTATCTTTCTCGGAATCAGAGTCAGAACCTTTGTTAATGCTGCTGTCCTTTATCGCTTTTTTCTTATTACCACCACTCTGAAAAGCCGAAACATTTATACCTCTGCGGGTGAAACTTTCAACACTATGGAACGAAGAAAAGAGTAATAGCGGCTTATCACTGTAAACGGCTGATAGTAGGAAAAGTATGGATACCAACTAATTCTGTTCCTCTACTTCTGCCTATTTCTGCCTAAACAGCAGTTCTTTTGGCTGAAGGGTCCCAAACTGGAAGCATAGGGAAGTCACTTGAAGTGAAAAGACCGTGAACTTTTACAATATTGTAACAAAAGCTGATCAGTAACCATGAAGGAGAAAGGCAATGTTTTTAAACATAAAATGGAATAAAAACAAACCTCACTCTCATCTGGTAAGGTGGAGATATTCAAAAGCAGCTTCACCACCCACTCAGGATGATGAGCACAGCTTTAAGCTACTCTAACAAAAAGATACTATTTCGTGCACAGATGACCAGTTCAAGTGGTGTTAGAACAGCAAAGCTGAAGAAAGTAAAATTTCCCAGAACAAATAATCATACCACTTTCAGACAGTCCAAAAACCAGTCTCAATCTAAAAGTAGGTAGCGGATACACTAAGAGTTTCAAAAATTGGTCTAAATTTGTGAAGCCATAAGCCAGAAGGAAACGAAGAAAAAAATCTATTTTAATATCAATACTTATGAGTTATTTGTAAAGATTTTTAAGAGCAACTTTGAAAATTTAGCTGAGGAGAAAATAATTCGAAAGTTATCTACAAGCTTGAAAAAACCTACAAAATGTGAAATTCAATATTAAAATTTTTCTTCTTCCGTAGAGGAACAACAAGTATAATAAAAATTCTCCACGCAAATCACCCAAGACCCGATTGAGCGGAAGAAATACGATCTTTAAGTTTTATCTGGTAAAGTGAAGGAATTCAAAAGCAGCTTCATCATCAACTTACGATGATGAGCAAAGCCGTAAGCTACTATTAAAAAAAAGATATTATTCTGGGCATTGTTGACCAGTTCAAGTAATGTTAGAACAGTAGAACTGAAGAAAATAAAACTTCCCAAAAGCAACCAAACCAAACCTTCTAAATTAAAAAAAAACTCACCTCTAAGCTTATGTCAAAACTGTTAAGAGTACAAAATCACTAGTGTTCGTTTATTTTTCCAACAACTTCCAACTCATCAGGTTTAACACAATGAAATCTTTCCAAACAGCAAAGGAGAAATAAAAAAACCAAATTTTCCAGCAACACACTAGAAGAAGATTGAGAGAAAAAGAAAAATAAGAAAGTATGAGATGTCTCAGTTTTGAAAAAGAAATGAACAACCAGTCACAAAAAAAGCAGCCTTCAAGAAGTTTTAAAAGTAAAGGAACTCTGAGAGATTACTTATGAAGCAGATTCTCTCGTATTAGTGAGAAGAAAACAACTTGAGATAAGTTTTTGCGCGAACCGTGGGAAAAAATACCTTAAGAAAGTCTTTCACTTTTTCCGCCCGATCCAGATACTGAGTACAACGCTGACGAATAGTCTCTTTTTGTTTTTCACTCTGCGCTTCATCTAAATTAGCAATAATAAAAAACTTCTCCGTAAACTACTCAATTAAAATACATGAGGAAATCGAATAGTATCTGAGTAGCAAAAACTGAAAAAAACTAACAGTTGATTTTAATTTGAAGATAAAAGAGTATAAAAACAACATAAGAGGAGTATTAACCAATTAATCTTAGTGGCGAATTTAAGCGTCTAAACTACATTAGAGTCTTGAACTTATTTAGCGAAGTAAGAGTTCTTTAATAAAGAACCCAATCAGAATCTCAAAACATCGTGCAACTGGTAATTACTTGACTAAAAACATCACTTATTTTAGTAAATAATAGCATTTCTTACCTCGTTCCATTTACTAATAGATCAAATTTTCAACTAACAAAAGAAGTGTTATCTTTCAGAACATCCGCTACTTTATTATAATCAGATAAAATTTTCGTCCACAATTCCTATTATATAAACTGGTGGTGGCATTCCGTCTATTACCTTACATAATTGTCACGTTAATTGTGTTAAACCTTGTTTCCCCTACGTCCCTGATTATCCTGTTTGTTGCACAAAAGCACTATCTCTTTTCATTGAGGTAGTGAGTAAAACAAAAAAATTCATTTTTTTCTTCGAAACCGCTTTAAAAAAGCAAAAGGCATGTTGATATTACAATAGGCAATAACGGTAAAAAAGCAATAAGCTAAAGCAATGGTTTTAAAAAAATGGGAATTTCTTCACCACTCTTTTATCTCAAACTAGCGCAAATCACTTTAACTTACATCCAAGTTAGTAAAGAAAAAATTACATTTGATAGCATGTAAAAAATAGTCAACCCCGTGCTCATAAAGTCGTAGAGCCTCTTGATAGTTCTTCTTCTTGTCCTCTTCAGTTGCCTTTGTAACTAACTCTATAGCCTTCTAAACAGTAAGCATAATGAAACGAATTTTGATTTCCGGTAGTAACTAAGTTTAGAAAAGCGTAACGGAACAACTGTTATATACAAATTTGTAGAAACCAAATAGTATAACTGAACCTGAAGCGTTGAGCCATTCCCCGACATCCTAAAAATAAGAACAAATTTAGAAACGATCTAAGCAAATAATTTACGCTAGACTTTATACAGGCACAAAAGCACCATACGTAACGCGTTTGAACGACTACTAGTAAGTGTCACTTTGAACCGGTTGCGGCTCGAGCCTGTAAAAAACTACTCTTGAGTAATCAGAAGTATAAGGTAAACCCTTCCCAATAAAAACAAAGTTCCTAAAGACTTGAATTCTTTTTTAATTGGATTTACAGAATAAGACTCTTAGTCAGTGTATACAAGCTTATCTCCAGTGTTTCATATGGTGCCCCAAAAATGCAAAACCCAGCACATCTCACAGGCGGTTAACTTGTAATGCATATAAGGCAAAAAAAGTCACGGCGAAGTTTCAACTGAAAACGGCAAACTCAGATTTCCGCCTCCAAATTAATTGTTAGTTTAAAAACGTGGAATCTCTAATAACAAAGCAAAGAAGAAAAACAGCTCTTAAGCATAATTCGGACATCGGAAGCGTATCAGCCCTTCCTGAAATCGCCGTCACTGTAAGATGCATTCCTTCTACCAGCCATACTGTAAGTGTCACGAATGTCGGTGACGAATGACTACACAACAAAGCCCCTAGTGTTTTGTAGAGCTGTGCTAAGGTTTGAATTCTAAACCGTTGCAGCACAAAAGCAGCAGATAACCGCCTACTTGTTCTTGAGCGGCAACCAGTGAAAAAACTTATTTTCCAAACAGTGATTAGTTGATAAGATGCAACAAATTTACTGGCGATGAATCAGAAAATTATTTGAAAATATCGAGGTCAACTGGCAGCGGTTCGACGAAAATACGGTTTTTTAAAGACGGACTGCGTCTCACTCGGATACAAGGAGAGAGCAAGTTAGGGTCATTGGCGTCTTATTCGATTACCTTTATAATGTGTATCTACGGGACTGCAGTGTTTGTTTTGTTTATTCGTGCACTTTACTGTCTGCATGATTCATCTGCAGTTCTTCAAAGTTTCCGCACCGGTGAAAGGTATATATATATATATATATATATATATATATATAT